TTATTAAGTTAAACTTTAATAATTTACAAAGAGGCCCTTAGTTGGGCAAGAAATTAAAAGAACATAACATAGAAAGAATAGGCCCAGAATAAGGCCCATTACAGTAAAGAACATAAAAAATAAGAAAGGATAAACAGCCTATGGGCCATTCAGCCCATCTTCTCTACATGCTGTATAGCAATAATTATTGGGTGCTAATCAAATTTTATGTTGTTGCTGTTTACTTCTTGTTTGAACAGTTAGTGCAGTTTTGTCCTGAAGATTACTTTGAAACTGATACTTTTGCATTCCTGGCAATGGAGCTCTGTGTATCCTATCTATATAAAACATTTCAGAGGTAGACTTTCTTCCATAAAAAATCTACTTTCTCTGTATACTAACTTGTTTAAAGCATCTAAAGGACTAGCCCCAACATCATTTCTAACAGTAACACCTTGACTGGGGGTTTCTATAATTTTTGCAGAAACAATGCAGCTTCAGTAGAAGATCCAATATGTAAAGATTTAGTTTCTGAATTATTTATTATAGCTGAGACACTAGTAAGGCGATTTGAACTTAAGGTATGGTAGGAGCTTCCATACTTGTGTTGTTCTTTTTAACTAAGATCCATCTCCAGATTAACTTCTCCTCACATGTATTCGTGATATTGCATCTTTTTTCTTGTTATCACTTGTTATTGTCTCAGATATCCATTGATATCTCATAAATAAACTTTGCAATTTTGAGGCACAGAACAAATTGAAATCAATGCTGGGATTTGAGTTAACTAGTTACAATTGTCTTAGAGGAGCTTCAACTGAAGCTTGCTTTTCAAAAGTTAATGACTTCATCCAAAGTACCGGTTCATTATTCAAGAAATATGTTGAAGGTAAGCATCTAACCAAATGCATTACATCCTTTGTTTTTTGGCTATTTAACTGATATTGCTGCTAGTGTTGCATGGATTCTCCTAAATGGATGGAGTCTTTGTTGGGCACCATTGGATTCCTATACTCCCTTTATTTTAATCTCCTGGTTTATTTCTTATATCTATTCCTCATCCTACAACCATGGTTAATGTGCTTGAAAAATGTAAGAGAGATGTTCTATTGCTCAAGCCTGAAGAATAAAAGAAGTATCACTTGGTTGATTGGGAATAAGTTTGTACTGTCAAGGACAATGGTAGGCTTGGTTTGCAAGCCATTAGATTAATGGGAAAATAGTAGGAAAATTATCCAAGACAAAACAGAGATCTCGGAGGTTCAATCCGCCCTCATCGCCAGTGAATGCCTACCATCATCATCAACGGTGTTACCAGCAGCGGCAGATATGTTACTGGCAGCAGCAGATCTAGTAAAGGTAGAAGATGAAACCAGCAGCTCCAGATCTGTTACCGGCAGAGGCAGATCTAGTAAAGGTAGAAGACGAAATCAGCAGCAGCGATTACCAGCATATGCATGAGGGAGGATGAAGAAGACGATCTGTTACCGGCGGTGGTGGCGATTACCAGCAGCGGCGATGAGGATGAAGACGATCTTGAGTTTTCTCGAGTTTTTCCACCGGGGTCGCACGGTTTTGGTGCAACCCCGAATCCTTGATTTTGGGATCTCGCATCCCACCTTTTTCTCACCCCATCCCCCTCTTTCCCTCAAAACAAATATGAGAAAAGGGAATATTTTTGGAATATTCCCTTTTTCTCATCCCCATCCCACAAACCAAACGGAGCCTTAGGGGTTGAACTTCAACTTTTTGGATTGCAATAATACTACTTTTAAGCCCCTAGGCAAATTTCTGTATATGATGTGTATTTGGCATTGTTAACAGGCCATACTTATTTAGGCCCTTTTTATCCATTACTATTAATGGAAATATACTTTACCTACCAAAAATAAAAGAGGATTATTGATACTTGGCTAAGAAAAAGGCTGTAATCCAAGAAACCAAGTAGTCTGTCGAGGAACTCAAAGCCCAAAAAAATAAATTTGCTTTCCTTCGTATGAAATTATTATAAGAATTAAAGATCCAAGTACTTGTTATATAGTAAAAGAAAATTTCATTAAAAAGAAAAAAGTGATACAATCTAAATATCTGCTAAGGCAACACCTCCAAACAAACTAAAGCAATACAATTCGCCCATAGGCCAATCAATGTGAGTTATCCAAAATACAAATTTGAGCCTGAAACTCCCTAGGTTAACCCCCACTGATCCTCTTGCTTATTGTCAAGCTTTGCCTATTTGACCAAGAAAACCTGAAGCCAGTTCGACCTCCTCCATCTTTCCTCTCTTCAATCTTCAAACATGCCCAGATACCAATTCCATCTTAAATTTTCAGCCATCTCCTTCCCTATTAAATTTTCCAACTTCCTTTCACTCTTCCTCAGGAATTTCTTCTTCCTTCTCCTTCCTCCCATATCTCACCCCCTTCTCCAACTGCTTTCTTTTTGCTATATTATTCCCTTCTACTTATTTCGAATTGTTCAATTGCCTTCCTCACCATCCCTCCCCCCCCCCCCCCCCCCCCCCCCCCCCTCCTAGAAAGAAGATGCCAAAAGACTTCCTAGTCGCCACCTGTCTGTCCACTAGCTGATCAATACCCACCTTCCCCTTCTCAGTGTTCTCTTCCCCTGTAACCTCTGTAGCTTCAGTTCCCACTATGGCTCATTGTACTACCGACCTTTTCTTTCTATTGTAAAGCCTCTGTTGATCGTCCTCCACTTTTTTCCTCTTTAAAATCCTTCCGCCTTCATCCCTGCCATCATACCACCGACCCCCCCCCCCGAATCTTCTTCCCTAACAGAGCCACCCCCACTCCCAAGTACTTATGGGGGTTATTGCTTGATTTAATGGTAAAAATCTCGGGCTGACAATCTGAGAACATGGGTTTGAGTCTGAGAGCAGACATTCTGTGTGATAAAAATCCAAAGGTTAGGTCCATATCCCATCTACGTCCCCCCCCCCCAAAGATCCCAAATAGTTGGGCCTCAAACATTGGGTAATGGTCTTTTTTTATCTAAAAACTTGACTTAAATTATTTATGATGGTAGAAAATAGAAATCTTGAAAAAGTCATTTGACTGTCTTAGTTTGTATATTTAAGAAAAAAATTGTGTAATCAGAATACAATTTTTTTTCCTTTAACAAATTAATGAAATTTTATTTCTACGAAAGAAGAGAGGTACCTTATGCTAGTTTTACTGTAGGAGAGAGCATCCTATGAGGTATGAATACAGATTTTTGCATTTATCAAAAAATTAAGAAATAAGAGAGAGAGAATAAAAATAAAAATTGCTATAGTGATACAGCTAGCAAGGCCCAGCATTTTGCATTCCCAAGAATATGTAATCTAATTACAATTTCCCAGCCCTGCAGCATGCCCCAATAGAGAACTGCTATAACTGCTTCTTCTCTGGCTGAGGATTCTGCTGAGGAATTTGCAGACACTTGAACCAATTGAATGAGGTTTTCCTGCTGGATGTCACAGAAGCTAACTCTTTTTTATCTTCCAATTTTAAAAGTCCAGGTCGTCCTTAGAATATGTCCATGGGTCCTTCACTCTCTTGATGACATAGAATTTTATCTGCAATTTGATGATATACTCATTTGGATTGCCTCATTATTTCAACTTCCGTTATGTTTGCTTCATTAGTTCACCTCATGTAAACCATCTTCATCTATGCCTTACCCAACTATACAGGTCGGGCACATGAATCGTGTTTTTTCATTCCATTCTGTTTAGTGGTGGTATTTAATTATTTTTTCCATGATGGTTCTGTTGGGTTTTTTTTTTGTGAATATAAACTGCATTTAATTTATTTCTGTCCTGTTTATTGAACCTAATAAATAGGTGTTCTTTTGACTAGACTTCCAACATTCTTAGTTATAGCTTTAATCTCAGGGCTAGTATGTAGCCTATTCCATTTCATCTACAATTAGTTTTCTAGGTCAAAGAATTTGATGTTTGTAATATTACAACTTTAAATAAACTGTTTGTTGAGAGTTCCACAATATGATAGATTTCCCCACTCTTGTGATTAAAATTGATTTAGATTTCATCTTTGATCAGCTTATCTTAATAAGTCCAATGTCTTTAAGTTGGTATAATATCTTAATGCAGACGGAGTGAAACATTGTGATGATATTATCAGCCACTTGAGAACAATTCTTGGAATATGGTACAACTCAATCATTGGCTTAACCAGGGACTGCATCAGGGGCATACATTTGCTAGAGAATAAGAGATCTGGCACATGCAAACTGTTGCAAACGAAGCTTGCATTTTGCTTTGAACAAACATTTTCACTTGCCAAACTGGTTCATGAAATTGAAGATCTTGTAGACAAAAAGGATAATGACATGTTTTTGACTATATACAAGCATTGTACCAAGTGCATCCAAAGTATCATTACCAACTCTGATATACAAGTAAGCTTTATATTAATGCTTTTGATATCCAAGATGGATTGCTTTCATTAGCAAGCATTCAAGGGCATCTGTTAGAAACATTGCTGCTTACAGGTTCAGGTGGTTGGATTGCAAGCTCTGAAAAACATTGCCCAGAGAGAACTTGGCCAAGTGTCAGACACTAAAAAGACTTCCTTTCTCATGTTCTTCACAGGAGAAGTGTTTTCTGATATCTTTACCCTAATCCAGAAGATATTGAAGGTATTTTCTGTTTGAAGTTTACCAGACTGCTACTTAGATTCATAAAGGGCCTCTGAAGGTGATTGTTTTTTCTCTTGACAGAAACCCATAAGCAGGGAATCAGTGGTTATCACTGCTGAATGCTTGAGATTGTTAGCCCTCCTGCAGACACTGTCAAAGACAAATGAATGTCAAAAATGTCTTATGAGTCTACTTATGGAAGCTATAGTCATGGTTCTTTCTGTTACAACTAATGATCATTCACAGGTAGCATTGACATTTCCAACAGAACTAATTTGCTTGTGTCTTTTATGCCAACATTCATTTCCTTGTATGTGCAAACCCAGGAACTCATTGAAATAAGAAACAATACAATGAAGCTTGTTTCTCATCTTGCTCAAATCCCTTCATCAGCAATTCACTTCAAGGATGTTCTGTTGGCAATGCCCATGGAACGTAGGCAGCAACTTCAGGTGCTTTTTTTTGCTAACAAGTTTGAACATATTACCTACTTGCAAATCTAGATTAGACAGTAGAGAAATAAGTTTGCGGATTTTCTAATCTAATTCTATTGCATGGTTGGTGCTGTTTAGCATATCAAAACATAATATTTGAACCAAAAGAACCCCGTAATTATGGCCTAGTATTGAGCTCCATTTGACCTCCAAAAACCTCATTTCTTCTAATGTTAAAGGAGGCAGAAGAAAGTTTACTTCGATATGTTCTGCTCTAGTTTCTGCTCATTTTGTTTGTTTTCACCTCCTACATCAAAACAAATGCAGCCTAAGAGTAAAAGCTACAAAGAAGTACCACATAAATTATTCACCAAGGGGAACACACCGGGGGTGAGGATAGGCAGTATCAATTGGAGTTCATTCCAGCAAGGGGAACAACGAGGGGAGTACTATTGGTTTGGGACCCATCTGTGCTGGTGGCAAAGAAGGTAGAAAAGGGGCAGTTTTCTATCTCTGCTCAGTTTCTTCTGGTGGAGAGTTTTAATTGGGTAATGACTGGTGTATATGGGCCAACAGAAAATGGGAGGTCTCAGGATTACTAGGAGGAATTGAAGAAGATAAAAGAACTGTGGGATTTTCTCTGGGTGATTGAGGTGGATTTCAACATGATCAGGTTTTTACGGCTCCGTTTGGCGCATCTTTCCACGTGGTCTTTCGGCTGTTTACAAGCCGGGCGGACCGCAGCGTGGTCTTTTTCCGTTTGGTTCGTAAGAGATCTAGCCGCCAAAAGTCGGTGCGCTGGAAAGACGCAAGAAGCCCATTTTGGGCTGATTTCGGGAAGCTCCAAATGGAGCTTTTTGCATCTTTCTCACTTTATTCTCATGCAGAAAGACACGGAAAGACATGCGGTAGACAAACTAGCTTCGGGCTGCTCAGATCTTCATGCAAAAGCTCAATGCGTCTTTTGACTATCAGAGCTACCAGAAGATCTTCCCAAAAAGACTTGCCAAATGGCCCCTACATGAAAAGAGGGGAGGGCAGAGAAATTGCAGGGGAACAAGAGGTTTTGCACAGTTCATGAGCCGGGGGGAATTGGTGGATTTACAACTTATTGGGGCTAGATATATGTGGTCAAACAACTGGGATGACCCCATTGTAGAAAAGCTGTATCATTTTGTTGTCTCCACAACCTGGGAAGATTATTTTCCTCGCTTGTCCCAGGAAGCCTTACCTGACCACTACCCTATTCTACTAAATTGTGGAGGAGTCTCTTCTGTTAAAATCCCTCCTTTTCGTTTTGAACATATTTGGTTTGAAGAGGAGGGTTTGGTTGATAAATTGAAGAGGTGGTTGGAGGAGTATCAAGTAGTAGGGACAGCAAGCCATATTTTTAGTAGGAAGCTAATAAACTTGAAGACAGAACTAAAGGAATGGAGCAGGCAGACTTTCAAAGCAGTGGGTGAAAAGAAAGAGTGCCTTGAAACAATTTCAAGGGTGGATAGGCCTGAAGAGATAGGGGTATTGACGAGTGAAGAGAAATTGAGGAGGATCAATGCTAAGAAGGAATTTGACAAAATCTGTTATCAAGAAGAGATAAAATGGAGACAGAGGTCCAGGTGTTTATGGTTAAAAAATGGGGATAAAAATACCTTCTTTCATAAATTGGCAACTGCAGAAGAAGACAAAACTGTATCAAGATGTTAGAGGTAGAAGGGGAGGTCAGGGAGGTCATTGAGGAGGAAAATAGGCTACAGGGGACACTGAAGACAAAACTGTATTAAGAACTCACTCTGTTCTTGCAGCCAAAGAATGTGTTGGGAGGTTAAGAGCGAGGACACTGAAGAAATTTGTTTTGGATTCCTGGAAGGTGAGAACAATGTTTTAAAATGCAGAGGCGTGACGCGAGGCATTCCACTACCTAGAGGCGTGAGGCATAGTTCAGAATGCAAGAGGCATAAGCCTCCTTAAGGGGAAGGGGGGGGTAAGGAGGGAGGAAGGGGAAGAGAATGAAGAGGAAGGGGGGATCTCATTTTTTCTTTATTTTTAATAAGAATCTTTTATATTAAGAAGAATAAAGATGCATAACATTAGTTGAAAGCGTGCCTCCAGGCGTACGCCTCCCACGCCTTTTAAAACACTGGGTGAGAATGAGAAGATTAGAAGAAATGCTTCGATTTTGTAGGGGATGAAGTGAAGGAAATCTTTCATTTTGCGAGGAAGCATTGATGCTCTATTCTTCTTTATCGTCTGTAGAGGTGAGTTTGGTTCTGTTCATTAGCCTTCCTCCGTTGGATGGTCAATGTAAAAAAAGCAAAGAGTAGATTTTAGTGGGGCTGAGTCCTATCTGTATCTTGTAAATTCTCAATAAACATATCAAGTTTCTGTTTTTGTTGTTTATATAAGAAATCTTCATTTTGATCATCTGAATTGCCAATCAAGGAAAGAAAAAAAATTGTATTCCATTGAATTGTAACTTATCTTATTTCCTAAAGAAAACAAAAGAAAGGGAAGACAAATTAAAAGAGAAAAACTGAAGACAGAGAAACTGTTCTGTAAGAGTTCTGAATAATTGTTTTTATTTCTTGGAACACCATAGACAAAACTTAATTCTAACTGAGCTGCACAAGTGCTTGACTACCTAGACTATGATCAATATTAATTGTTTGCTCTGGAAATTCGCCTGGGTATCCAAGACGAAGGGAAGCTTAGGTCTTGGTGGGTGGAGTTTAGCATCCAGTTCTAAATATCCATTATTCATTGAAGCACTATGAAGAAGATAAAAAACAAGTGCACTAGAAATGCAATTCTTTCCATGAGCACATCTCTGTTTTTCTCAAGAAAACAGGGGTCATTCAAATTTGAAAGATAGAGAGATTTAGACCTCAACATTCGTTGTATTAAGCATTTGGAATGCATGAACGAATCAGAAAGGGGAGCAGGGGGAAAGACAATAAAGAGTATAAAAAAGTAAGATGATTTCATAAATTAAAGAAAAGGGTAGTTTGGGCATTTAGAAAGCTTTAAATAGTCAGACGAGAATCTTTTTTGAAGTTAACTGACAACGTTAACGAGGGGGGGGGGTATTTGTCTACCGGCTGAAGTTCAGGGGGGTCTTTGTCATTGACCCCATAGTACAAGGGGGTCTTTGTAATTTACCCTAATTTTATCTTTTTTACTTTGAGGCTTACACCTTGCCTCTACAAGACCTGAGCACGCCTCCACTTTTAGCCTTCTAAAACCTTGCCTATAATACAGTACCCCACTCCCCTTGTATTGTTTCAAATTCCCCCACCTGTCACTATTTCCAACTGTAAAACAGAAAATTTGCCCACTATCTATCTATGGTACTCTGTTTTCATTTTTTTTGATAATGTAATGGGTACAAGCATTTAATCCCAGATAGTTGAACCAGTGAAACCATTGGAAAGACAAGTGGTCCAGCCAACAGTTGGGTTTTAAATATTCTTTAAAACAAAAGTTGGAAAATTTATTGCAGTAAATGTTTGCTACATAATGGTGTTCTGTTACAGTTTCTTCTCCTGTTCGAATGCTGATTGGGCCTTTATACAATTTTGTAATCCAAGCTAGTTAAACTGTTAAACAGATCAGTTATAAAGTTATGAAATAAATGAGAACAAACTAGGCAGCTCTCTTACTAATTCTTTTAGTATTGGCCAATAACCAGCTATACTTCATAATTACTAAGCAGAACTGATTCTTTACAAAGACCAAAACAAATTTTTAACCCATGTAAGTATAATTTCAGGACATTATTCGCGCTTCCGTTACAGAGGATCAGAATGCATCACAGACAAAACCCACAACTTCACCACCAATCATAAAGTTACCACTAAAGACAGAGCAAGGTATAGATAAATGCTCCCAAGCTTTTTCTTTAGCATCTTTTACAACACGATCAGACAAGGACAACATGGAGGAAGAAGATGATTGGGATTCTTTCCAGTCTTTTCCTACTGCTACTGAGTCTTCTGCTAATTCCAAAGGTGATGGCACTGTAGAAGTGCCTACATTAGTTGACAATTCTTCTACTTTAGATTGTAATTTTGACGCAAAAAATGATCTTCAAGAGCATTCCAGTTTTCGTTCAGTAGAGGATGTGAAAGAGATCACCACTGAGGGTGTGGATTCTAGTGAAGATGAAAATGGTCCTGTAGAACCATGCAGCAGTCACCATCAGGAGGTAATAGAAGAGTAGCAAGAAGCAAAAATGAAAATATCCTGGTGTTATCTGATCTTCAACCTGTCAAAAATGAGTGTAGTAATCAAGAGAAATCTAGTTCCAGGAAGGATGATGATAACCATCACCAAGAGAAGGGTTCTAGTCCAGAAGCTGCAACAAAGCAAAATGAGGGAATGAAGGTAGTGATCAAGAACCAGTCAAAAAGCATAGTATTTAATTATAAATTACCAAAACCAGGAAATGTTTGTTTTTACTGGACATTGTTATTACCCTGGGCACCTAAGAAAACATTCCTCATCACACTTGAAGGAAAGGAGAAAGGTTATGCGATCTCTTGACATGCCTTCTTTCTGGAGGGAGTCTCAACCAAATATATTCAACTAAGATGCAGCAGTTAATTTGGTAATGACGGTATTTGTAAAAATTCAGATCTTTTGGTGCCGTATTCTTTCTTGTGAACGGAAGTATATTGGATTATGGGCCTTGGTTTCTGTTTTCCATCCAATGCCTTTTAAAAAAGGACTGAGCTAATTCGCATGAAGAGCTGATGGCCGATTAGTCTCTCTTGACCATTAAAAGTACAGATTTAACTTGCCTGAAGGTTGCAATTTTTGAGATCGAATCCATCAACTTGAACATATCGAAAAGATAGAATGAATCTGCAAACTCGAGGAGAAATCGGGAATTCAGAGTCAATTTTTTACATTAATTCTCTAAATGTTTGTTGTATTTTTATTGTTTTACTCTGTCTCTGTTATTTGATAATTTTTAGAGACACGACTCTACGTGTGAAGTTGATTAATTAGTTGTCAAAATAATCAATATTTACATAGTTTACCTTTTTCCTCAACAATAGACACATTCGCTATTTTGAAAGTGTAATAACAAAAAATGCTTAATTTTGTTTTTGATGTTAATTTTGGTTTTTTTTTAAATAAAACATTATAAACAAAATGGTAGCCAATTTAGGTCAATTAGTCCAGTCTAGACCAGGTTGAGAATGATCATAGGTCAGGCCCAGACCAGGCTTAGCACTTATTATAAGAGTTATAGCCTGGACCTGGCCTAGACCAGGCCTAAAATATAAGCCTGAGCCTAGGTCTATACAGGCCTGAGCCCAGGGTGGGTTTAGGGCTTAAAGCATCAAATAATAGTGTATGGGTTGGGTTTGGCTTGGCTCGAGCCTATGACACAAAATAAGGTATTAACTTCAAAACATTGATGTCCATCTAGAGAACAATGTAATGTATTTACTAGCGAGTGCCCCTTGTGATGCACGGTTTCAGTTAAGTGAAATTGAAATAAAGGTCTTAGCCAAATCGCTTTGAATCCAGCCCAAGTTGAACCCCCATTGAGAGTGATCAATTTCCTATGCACTCTTTTTCACTATTAATTAATTTTAAATTTTTATTTATACAGAAATAAATAATTTTTATAAAACATTTTATTTTTATTTTTAATGATTAATCTTAAAAATAATTAATTAATAGTAACATCAAGAGCATCTTCCATACTTACATGTTTTCATTCATGGGAGAGGTTCCCAATGCATGGCTGCAAGTGTTGTGGGGTGGGTGTGAGGACCATTGGAGGAAATCAAGAAAGGAAACAGAAAAACATTCAAACTATCAATGTCAAACAAACTATTAAATTATAAACTTGAATAGAAGGAAATGCTCAAAGGAAGCTTAAGTAATATACCCTGATTTTTATTAATAAAAAAACAATTTAGATCTACTAAGTTTATTTTGTTATTAATTTTTGTTAATTTTTATTCACTTTCATTAAATTTTTTAGTTTTTGCTATCTTTTATTATTTTTATTATGTTTGATTATGTCATTTATTTACCAATTTCTAAATTTATGTTTACTTATTTAATTTATTACTATGTCTTTAAAACAATCATTACTTTTTTACTTTTGCTTTTGTTTTGAAGTTATTAATTAGTAAAACAATTAATGTATATAATTTAATTAAAAATGCTATTAGTATTATTATTAGTTATGATTTTAGTTTATTTTTAAATTATTATTGTTTTTATTTGTTTTACTGTTTATTAGTTTACTATTATTTAATAATTAAGTTATGGAAATTTGGGGGGTACATGCAGAATATGGCAATGCATTACTGTACATTACACAGGTTTCGAGGTGCTAACTCGAGGCAGGACCCTTCAGTGCCTCTTGATAGTCGGTGCGAACTCCACAATTAAGAGAACTCGGTAAGAAAGAATCAGGATCCACCTCATGACAATATCTGTAATGATGTTGAGATACCAGATCAGACCGAGGTTAGCAGCACCAACGCTAAGCCGGTGAAGAAGCAGCAACGACAACGCCGCAAGACACGTCGCTCCTCGGCTAGAAACAGTCTGCCAGCGAAGCCAAGCCAACAAGCGGAGCGAGCTAAAGAAATGGAAGAAGTGAGCTCGGTGGCAACGAAGACTGCGCCTCCCTTGCTTTGTCGATCATCTCCTCTGTCTCCCGAGCTCCTAGCAACCCCGATGCCGAAAGACTTCAAGGTACCCCCATTAAGTATGATGGGTCGTTTGACCCCAACGATTACGTGGATTCTCTCCAATCTCATATGCACCTAGCCGGGGTTGACGAATCCTGCATGTGTGTGGCCTCCTCCACCACGTTCAGGGGGGTAATCCGAACTTGGTATCAGAACCTCGCACCAAGCTCCATCAAAAGCTGGGTGCAGCTTGATGACCTGTTCACTACGCATTTCATTACCAGCAAGAAATGCCCGAAGTCACAAGAAAGCCTTCTGAATGTGGTGCAAAGGGAAGGAGAATCAATCAGAATCTACATCAAGTGCTTCAACGATACTTGCCTGCAAATAACGGACCTCGATCCAGCGGTGTGTCTCACTACAGCAAAGAAAGGGATCACTCACAAAGAGTTCAAGTGGCATGTGGTGGTCAACAAACCAAAAGATATCACCGAGTTCCTTAAATTGGCAAACCAGTTCATCGGTACCGAGGGGGAGATTAACCAGAAGATTGACAATCCACCGACTGAAAAGAGGAAGAGAGAGAATGAAGGGACAAGCAACGACGGGCAGAAAAGAAAGAAGAGCAAATCCCCAGGCAGGGGAAGAAGCAGGTCCCCCTCACACAGCCACAAGTCAGGTCGGCGTTCTAGGACTCCGCCTGTAGAAAAACGAACTATACACCTCTGAATGCTAAGCGAGGAGAGATCTTAATGGCTATTAAAGACTCCTCCTTCGTCAAATGGTCTCCCAGGCTAAGGGGAGATCCGGCAACAAGAAACCCAAATGTCTACTGCCACTTCCACCGAGATCATGGACACAGCACGGAAAATTGTAGGAATCTCCGCGATGAGATCGAAGAACTTATCTGTCGAGGGTACCCGAATGATTACAGCTTGCGAGAAGAGAGGGGGCAGGCAGACTAACAGGGAGATCGTCAGGGGGACCAGAGGAGAAATTCCCTCGACACTAGCAGGCAAAATGAGCAACCACCTCGGTAGCTCCTAGAGGAGAGGCCAATTCGTGGAGTGATCAATATGATCATAGGCGGGTCCATCATTGCGGGATGTACATCAACAGCTAGGAGGACCTCAATCCGTGAATTGGAGAATGAAAGTGAAAACCCGCCAAAGCAACATCGGCTCGAAGAACCGATCTACTTCACAGAGGACGATGCGCGCGGTATCCAGTACCCACATGATGATGCTTTAGTAGTGAAACTAAGGATCAACAACTTCGACATGAAACGCATCCTAGTAAACTCAAGCAATTCAATAGACATAAGGAGACCTTCGATAAATTGCAGTTACAACAGAGCGACATGAAGCCAGCAGATACACCCTTGATAGGGTTCAGCGGAGAGGATGTTAGGTCTCTCGGTCGAGTCATAGTACCCGTGGAGGCAGGCACGTGCCGAACATCGTACGATTTGAGCACACATTCTTGGTGGTCATGACTCCCTCCCCCTACAATGCGATAGTAGGTCGGCCTATCACGTACGTTTTGCGTGCGATAGTGTCCACTTACTACTTAGCGATGAAGTTCCCAACTGACTACGGAGTGGGGGTCGTGCGAGGTGACCAGCTCGAATCCCGTAAGTGTTACGTGGCCGCTTTGAAAGGAAAAACAAAGCTAGTAGAGGACGTCGAACTCGAGCAACCAGCGAAGTATACCGACGAGCGAGCTGCCCCGAAAGAAGAAACAATCCAGATACCAGTCTCTGTCGCCGAACCGTCCAGAACTCTTCAGATCGGTGCCTCGATTAGCGAACCACTTCGAACCCAGCTAGTAAGTTTTTTACTTGAAAATTTAGATATTTTTGCTTGGTCTGCGGCAGAGATGCCCAGGATTGACCCTAAAGTTATAACTCACAAACTTAATGTTGACCCTTTAGTCAAGCCAGTAAGATAAAAGAAATGCAACCTCGACCCGGAACGTTGAAGGGTAGTCAATGAGGAGGTCGGGAAGCTCCTCACGGCAGACTTCATCAGGGAAGTACATTACCCGAGATGGGTGGCCAACACAGTTTTGGTAAATAAGGCCAATGGCAAGTGGCGCATGTGCGTCGACTACACCGACCTGAACAGAGCCTGCTTGAAAAACTGCTTCCCACTGCCCAAGATTGACCATCTAGTGGACGCAACCTCAGGGCACGAGTTGTTGAGTTTTCTGGACGCCTATTCCGGTTACAACCAGATTATGATGGATCTTGCTAACGAAGACAAGACCGCTTTCATAACTGAGCTTGGGCTATATTGTTACAAGGTCAAGCCCTTTGGATTGAAAAATGTTGGGGCAACGTTCTAGCACCTTGTAAATAAAGTTTTTGAGCCGTTGATTGGTAATAAAGTATAATGTTATGTTGATGACATGGTTGTGAAGACCTAATTTTCGAGCTCTTTGTTGAATGATTTAAATGATGTTTTTCAAATTTTAAGATATAATATGAAGTTAAATCCAAATAAATGTGTCTTCGGAGTCACTTCGGGTAAATTCCTAGGCTATATATTCAACCGACGTGGCATCGAAGCCAACCTAGAAAAAATAAAGGCAATCCTAGATATGAGACCACCCCGGAAAATAAAAGAAGTCCAGAGGCTGACTTGCCGGATAGCTGCCCTAAGCCGCTTCATGTCTAAACCGGTGGACGTGTTAAAACTATACCTCTCCGCGAGCGACGAAGTAGTTAGTTCGGTACTAATCAAAAAAGTAGATTGGGTCCAACGGCCCATCTACTATGTTAGTAAAGTTTTGCAGGATGCAGAGACTAGGTATCCGGAGATTGAGAAACTAGCATACGCGTTGGTCATAGTAGCCTGGAAACTACGCCCATACGTCCAAGCCCACACTATCGTTGTCCTCTCCAACAGACCCCTGAGGCAGATCCTGCTTAAGCCTGAGGTATCTGGAAGATTAACGAAGTGGTCAATCGAGCTGAGCGAATACGATATCCGGTTCGAGCCACGACCAGCAATCAAAGCCCAAGTCTTGGCAAACTTCATAGCAGAGTGCATGTTCGGCACAGCAACCCCTGAATTAACCAAGCTCGCTCACACAACAGAGGTGTCAAATAGTGTGGCACCGGACCCAATCAGGGTGGTACCGACCTGGGACGAGGAGCCCTGGATCCTCCACGTTCACGGCACATCCAACCAGTGGGGAAGTGGTGCAAGACTGATACTGTACGGCCCAAATGAGGTGAAGTTGGAGTATGCTCTCCGGTTTGGATTCGAGGCGTCAAACAACGAGACAGAGTATGAAGCGTTGATCATCGGACTGAACTTAGCAAGGGAAATGAAAGCAAA